TGTTCGCAATACAATACACAAGTAAATGAAAAATCCTTGAACATTTTTTAACTACATTATAAAACTTGAATTTAAAAAAAAATACTTTCCATTTGAGTTTTTTTTTTTTGGAAAATTTTACTATCACTACTTGCACTTGGAAATTTAAAAATTTATAATACAAACAATGAAAGAAAAATTCTAACAAAAAAATTAATTCACATTCACTATGCCATTTTTGCTTTCATAAAATAAATCCAACATAGCAACCTGTTGATTGTGAAAATTTTAAATTTTTCAGTACTCAAAATCGCTTATAGCAGAAAATGTGTGTATTGAAAATATACTTACTATGTATACATGAATATTTTGAAAAACTTTCAATAAATTATTTTCTTCAGAGTTGAATTATACTAGATATACATAGTTGTTTGTCAAAATAATATAACAAACTTTAAAATAAAAATAATAATAAACTATAGAGCGAAGCCATTTTAATTTCGAAATTTTTAAAGAAACATAATTAAAAAAAAATTTCTTTTAACATAAAAATCATTTAATTAAATCATAAGTTTGTTTTTTTTTAACCCAATTCGTCATCATTTCATGAGGAACGAAAAGGAAATGGTGGGGAGTTAATATATGGTTAGAATTTATTAGTATGAGAGATATAAATAATTTTTGGACTACGCTCTAGGGAAAAACAAAAAAAAAAATTTAAAAAAAATGCCAACTTTATATAGCCCATATAAAAATAATGTAATTTGCTACAAAGTACAGATTTCAGAGAACTCTTACAAATCAAGATCAAAATAACTACAGTCAGAATTGGCGACACCCAATATCCTAGTCATCGGCTCTCATATCTATCATAATCCGTACTGTGATGATGAGCATTGAAAAGTTCTATCCATCTCAAATAATATCAATATTCTTCAAATGAATCTAAATAATAAAGGACGGTTAAGGCTAAAAAATAAGTAATATTTAAAACTTAGTGGAAATTCACATAAGAAAAAAAATTTTTAAATTCCTGGAATCTATAGGGGTGAAAAACTGAACTAAAATTTTTCTAATTTTATAAAAATAAAAATTGATATGTATTAAACTCTAAATATTTGGAAATATTTTAATTTTTTCAGTTTTTAGCTCATCTTCACAAAAAAATATGCGTTTACGGTTGTTTACGAAAATTTCTACGCCTTTTAAATGGATTTGACAAATAGACCAAATGGATTTTTATGAGAAATCTAGAGCCTGTAGACATTAAAAATGGTTATTGTCGTTAAATGAATTCACTTTTCTGCTTTCTTTCCGGTTTGAGCTCTCAAAAATAGCAAAATTTAAATTTTGGGATTTCTTTGAAATTGAATAAATTTTATAGTTTTACAAGCAACCATAAACGTTTCCCTATCAAAAACCCAGATATGTAATTAGATTTTTTAAATTTATGTAGTCTAAGTCGCTGCATAATTTCACCTTTATCTTCTTTTAATTTCTATTATTCTCCTGAAAGTATGCAGCAAGGTTACATTTTATGATATCATGTGAGTGTTGTAAAAAAATATCATTTTTTAAAGCAATTTAAAAAATATGAAATTTTAATTCTAATTATAAATGGAAAAGGATTTTATAGAAAGATTACAAGTAACACAAATTAAAATTTCTAAAATAAAGCACCTCGTTTTTACTCACTTAAATAGTAACTATTAAATAGCATTGGTAAACTAATGACTAATTACTAATTTATAGTTTTTTATAATTATTTTAATATATTTTTAATAATATATAGTCAAAAAATCTTTTCTGCTCCTAATTATATTATTCAATAAAAACCAAAAATGCCTTAATTATTTTATTTAAGGTGTAAAGTTTTTCTTTTAATAAAATCTGTAAAACGGAGTATGTATACATATGAACACTAAATCAAACCACAAAAACAATAAGCCTATTAAAGGTTATAAAATAATCCTTTTAATTAAAAGATTTCCTTTTGATCCCAATTTGAATAAAATATACAATTATATACGTTTTATGTGCAAAACAAAATAAAATACATTGGTACATACAAACTATATACACATTTATATTCATTCTTACACGCACACATGCATTTAAACTGTAAATGACATTTAAATAGTAGTTTAATATTTGCATGTATGTATGTAATATTATATAATACAAATTCGTATGCCTACATACTATTATTTTGGTTGCACATTAAATGCTAATATTGTAAATTAATTATGGTTCGTTTAACTTAAAAAGAAATAATTTAGAATTTTTAATCATTTATCGGTGAAGTTAATATTGAATTGACTTTAAAATTATTAAATTATAAGTCAAACTTTGATTTCAAAGAAATTTCTTCGAAAATTTACTTAAATTTTATGTAAAGTGGTTGTTTAGATTTAATAAAGAAGTCGTTGGTAAAAAAGAAATTTAGAAGAGACTAGGTAATTTTATATACTTAATTTAAGTTTTAGACAGAAATTTTATGTTCCTATTTTTATGAATTTTTAAATTCGGACGAAGCGAAATCACGTCATTATTTTTCAATAACAATAATAGGGTTCTAGCACCATACTTCAAACAATATAAAATTAACATTAAATTAATTACAAAATTATTAACTCTATTTTAAACATAAGTTTAAAATTATTCCTCCAAAAATCGAAATATAAATAAATTTCACTGTCTCTTTTGTTTTGTTTAAAAAACTATCTTAAAAACTAAATAAGTAGTCCAAATAAATATTTCAGGTCAGTAGTATTGTTAAAATCCTTCATAATTATTTCTACTTTTGAATTAATTTAATAATAGCTTTAAAATTCAAAAATTTTTACATGTTCTGTTAAATGATGTCAGACACCAAAATTAAAAGAGAAAAAAATACACGAACATATTACAGGACTTAAAGTAAATTTTCGTTTTGTTCAAAATTTAATTCTTGAACTATTTAATCTGTCAGAACTCTTGGTTACATTATTTTACTATGTAAACAAAAAAAGATATAAAGAAACCCAAAAGGAAACCAAAGCAATAAGAACATATTAGATTACAAAAAAAAATCAGATGTGGTCAGCACATAACCGGCCGCAATATGTAAGTAAATTATGAGTGTAATTATGAAACACTTCTTTAAAACTTTAAAGAAAACTTTTTCTTAAAAAACTTTTTTAAGAGTTTAAGGTTACCTGGAAAAATGCAAATTTGACTCTTAGTACAGGCTCTCAATTTATGTCAACTGAATTCCCTGAGTTAGCTGCCAGTCCGGTAGTAAACAAAACTTAAATATTGAATTTAAAGAAATTCCATTAATTGATAAAAAATGTAAAATTGTCACCTAGTTCGGTTTCCGAGCCCCGATCTTTCCGAAATAACTCATAGATTCATTGTTTTAATATTAAATATTAAATTTCAAGGTTAAATATTTCATTTTGTGTATGTGCAAAAATGCAAAAGCGGCCCACAAAAAGTCCGGTTCCCGAAGTCTGAGTTCAATCCGCTATACTCCCAAAATAAACTCCCATATAAAATTTCATCAAAATCGATTCAACCGAACTTGAAATACCCACGTTTCAACAAAGACTAACAGACTGTGAGACAGGCAAACAGACCGACAGAACGACACCTCTCTAAAAATAGTTTATTTACGCTTCCCAACCATTCGGTGCGTTCACACCGAAAACTCGAAATCCGAAATTTGGTGCCATCACATAACCTCACTTACAGTACGGAATACGGTAAGTAAAATAACCAACTTTAAGGGTAAAAGTTTCAATTATACTCACTATAATAAGATTTTCTAAAAAATCTATTTGAATTTTTCTCAGTAAAAGTTAATTTACATTATAAAAGAAAAAAAAAAACAATTAAAAGAAAAATTATTTGCATACACGTACACACAGTATGAATGTATGTACGCTCCTAACCTCAATTAAAAGTCCCTTTTATTTAACGGAGAAAGGAAATTTTCTTCTTCTACTTTGTTTTTTCTTTATTTTTTTATAGTTTTTCTTATAAAATATGGATAATGTTTTCATACATCCTTTCGGGGATTGCAATTATTTAATAATATTTACCTTGGAATTTTGTTTTTTTTTCTTGTTTTACTACCTTTACCTATAAACAAAGGAAGTGTGCTAAAAACTAAGATAATTTTATGTTAAAATATTTTTAAATTTATGCATATATACAAAATGCATTTGTTTATGCTATTTATCTATATTTATGTATATACATATATGTGTATGTCTGATTGTTCATGTTCTAAATATAAAACTGAAATGTAAATAAATTTGAGCTAAAATAAATTACTTTCATTAGAGAATAAATTTCTGTAATTTTTTTTAATTTATGGTTGTTTCCAATGCAAATCTATAGCAGAAATTATAAATGCAAATGGTTATACATATATGAAGGAAAAAATCCCTTCATATTTAATAAAATAGTTTTTGGTATACTTTTGGTACATTTTTCATGAAAACTTGGAATCAAAAAATTCTTCAAATTAAAAGTTTTCATTTTTTTGTAATTTTCCTGATTAATATTTAAAACTTTTGCAAAACATAATGTAGAATGCAGTAAAAATAATTGATTCAGTATTTTAATTGTTATATCGATAAACTTTGACCGTAGCTTTTGTAAAAGTATCTACTAAAATTGTAGTTTTCAACTGCTTTACTCTTTTTTTTATATGTCAGCGTTTAAATATCAACCATTGTTCATCGATTTTGTTTAATGAGAATTAGACGGCCTTTTACTTTTTCAATCAAATTTAACCCAAATAAATTTTCATTTTGACGTCCAATTTTCATGTTTACACATCCAATTTTCATCTTTCATCAAATCAAACAAAATCCTCAAACAATGTTTGATGTGTAAAGGCTACCACTACGATAAAACAAACAAAAGAGAGCAATATTTTTTCGGATTATTTTTTTTTTAATTTTACGAATTTAATTTCGCTTTTAAATTTTTATAATTATCATTCAATTATTTATAAAAACTTTACTTACCAGCTAAATGTCTATCACTTTGGGATCGAGAGTATCTGAGTGTCTGTATAAAAAAAAAAGGAATCATAAAAGAGAATTAAAATTTATTTTTTAACAACAAAAAATTCATATTTTTATATTGTTTTACTATTAACACATTTATGAACTAAAACCGGGTCCGTAAATTTAATTCTATAAAAACTGTAAAATATTAACAAACTCGACATTAACAGAGAAATTGTTCTGATTTGCAAAAAAATTAGGAGCCGTTTTTCCTTTTTAACACTTTTCTAACAAAAATTTGAAAAAAATACTTATTAGTTTTACTTAGTCTGTTCGTCCGTGGACATGTTTACGAAACTTCTACACACTTAAAACTAGAAAGGTGAAATTTCGTACATATACATAAATCTTTACTAGAAACTTATTTCCGTAGAAAACTTTTACCTTTATACTACTCTCATCTAAAAGTTATATAGCTCCTAAAACACTAAATATGCAATTCTTTAACAAATCATTGTAGCGAACCCATAAGAATTTTTCAAAATTTGCAAAAGCAGAAATTCGTTTTCCTTTCAAATTTTTAACATCGCTTTTCATCTAGATTGCAGGTTTAGGATCATGAAATTTTATCAGTTTTTAGACACCAATAAAATATAGAAAGATTTTTTCCACTCCTCCCTCAACCTCACATTTTCGAAACTGCAAGATTTTCAAAATTTCTATAAGTGCAGAAACCTAACGGTAAATGCCGTGCCATTAAAAACTTTAATTATTTTTCTTAACTCACGCAATGTGAGTTGTCCCTTCAATTTGAGCATTATGCTAATGTCTCTTTTAATTTTTTTTTTGCCTTATCCCAAATGTATGCAATCTTTAAAATATTTTCGTATTTGAATGAAAGTAATTTTAATAATGTAATACATGAATTGTTTAGATTGAAAAGCAGTATTTTCACTTGTTCAGAGGAAAAGTGGTACATTACAAAACATTTGCTTATCATTTAGTTATCAAACTAATTTGAGAATTTTTTCGAGGTCATTATGACTTTTTATCGATTTCGAGCCGCAACTGGCTTATCATAATCTCATTTCTTTTCAAAAAAAAAGTTGAAAATGTGAACGAATAACTTTTAAATTTCAATTAAAAACTTAATCGATAATTAAGAAAAAACATAAAAAAAACCAATCCTGACCGAATTTATACGGGACACAAAATTCATTTACTTACATTTAAATACATATACATATGTAACTATATGTAAACAGGATTGTATTTTAAGATTTGAATTGATTAAAAAAAGTTAAAATCTTTAAATGAGCCCAAGTAACACATTTATAAAAAAATTTAACAACCTAAGTACCATACAATTTTTTGTTTAACTTTTCAAAATAATATACGTATTAAAAATACCATTTGAAACTTACATTCTCTTTGTCATTATACCGATAATCATCTATTTTAGACTTTGAATCTTTCACCAGTAATGGAGCTGAATTAGATTTAGCTGTTAATTCAATCATATCACTTAAATTTTCATTTCCACTATGCAAAGATGCACTACTTTCGGCTTGTAATTCCCGTATATTTGTCGTTGATGTTGAATCTGGAAAATTTTCTTGCTCCGATATAGATGAATCTAAATCAATTATACTGTCCTTTGAGCCACTATGTTTAACAATATCTTTATTTGATGCACTGAATTTTTTTGATTCAATAATATGACTTCGAGCTTTAAGAGTTCGATTATTTTTTAAAGGTAATGATGCTGCTACAGCATGCCTATTTTTTTCATTTATTTTATAATCCAATTTTTTTCTTAATATTACCTCATCTTCATTAACTAATTGTTTTTGTTGCATTCTATGTTTAAGATTAATTGGATGATGACTAGGCGTAGTCAATTTGTTATTTGTTTTATTATTATTATTATTACTATTATTTTGATTTGTATCATTTAAGCAATCGATTTCATCGAAATTTCGACAAATCAATTCATCGTTATCTACACCATCATACAAACTAAGTACTTCTAATAAATCGGTATCATCTGAAATTGTTGCAGCCATATTTGAATTATCTCTCAAAAATTGATTTTTATCATTTGTTAGCTTTGATGCTGTTGTTAATGTTGAATTTAAACCACAATCGGTAATTGGTTGATGCTCATTTTCTAATTCAGCTGAATCTAAAGAATTTCCTGATTTGCCAGAACTTAAAATACCACCAGATGCAGCATCATCGCAAACTGATGACGAAGTCGTTGATCTAAAATTACAAAAACAAAAAAAGTTTTTATTTAAGATTTAAAAGCTAAAAAAAATTGTTTAACTTGTTTATATATGATAAATAACCTACTTAACAAGTCCAGTTAAAATTATGATTGGTTTACATAAATCAAATACAGTTGAGTCATTTTTGAGTCACTAAATAAGTTTATTAAACTCGAGTTCAGAAAATAAATAAAAAAAAATAGGACGGAATTTAACAATATGACAGCCTTTTTAAAATTTCAGTCGAAAATATTTTGTAGCCTCAAATTGCCCATCATTTTGCCTAATCTCTAATTGTTAGCGCCTTCCTTTAAAAAATAAAACTAGCACACCTTACGTTTTCACTATTTAAAATATTGCGTTGCACTTTTTCTTTTCCATTAAAAATTAAATAGAATCAGAATTTTACTCTTTATAAAAAATCGAGAATGTTAAAATGAGTAAAAAAAACCTTTTTGCCATTATAATTTTTCTTTCTATTATCATCAATTAAATTAAATGTATAAAAATTAATTACTCCTTACATCAACCACACCTGTAACGTTTCTAAATAAAATGGGAAAGAAGTGGTAATGGTATTAATTTTCGGTCAGGTCTTTCAACATCATTCATTTCGACCTTTTAATTAACATTTTTATAATTGAGATTTAATTTAATTGGTTTGGGTTCTAAGCTTATTGGTTAAAAGCTAATGAACTTATAAATACAATGTGTATTTAATATTTTAATTGCAATAAAAATTAGTTTGAAGATTGGGAAAGTCAATTTTTTCAAAGAATAATTAGATCACGTATTTACTATAAAAATTTTATTTTATAGCAGAAGGTCTATTTTTTTTTTTAATTTAAATAATTTAAGGATATTTTTATCATTTGTTTGGTTTATTATTATTGGTCTCGTGGCAGCTTTTTCAGAATGTAAAAACGACTTAATATTTGTTTGGCTTAAGCATTACAATAGAAATAATTCTTGTATTATATAAAAGAACTTCGAAAAAAAGAAGCTTGTAGTTCAATGTCAAGCTATTTTGCCATTGGCATGTATATTAAAAATAGAAACCAAGCTGAACAAAATTTTGAAAAACTTAATTGAATTAAGTCTTAAAAATATCATTATCATTTGAAATTACATAAAATTTTTACAAAATTAACTTGGTTAAAATTTACAAAATTCACTTTGTAAGCCTCAGTCTTTGAGACTCTGATACATACATTACATATTATAATATTCTTCTATTTCAACAAATGAAAGGACGAAAATATTTGCTTTCAATTTTGAAAAAAACATTTTATGCCAAAAAAAAAGTTAAGCTATTGAAAATATTTTAATTTTTTTTTCATATAAAAAATTAATTTTAATGTTATAATTAGTCTACAGAATTCAAAGAATTTCATGAAGAAGCTATCGAAAGGGTGTAATTAAATTAAAAATCTGAAATAGAATATCTTAAATGTATAATAGAATTTAATATCATGGCTATATAACAAAAACAACAACAATAATTGCTTGCGTAAAGCATAAAATGTCGCAATTTATAAAAATTTTTGATATAAAAATTTTTTTCTACACAAATGGTTTATTCATTTGCGGAAAATTTAAAAAAAATTTTGAAAAATTTAAAATGTACTTCTAGTCAATTTCATAAATTTTAAATAAACTGGAAAACGTGTACCGCAGATCTATTATTTAGTTAACTACATAACCTTTTAGTTAAATTGTGACTAAAAGAAAACAATAAACATTTTCTTACTTGATATCATCATCAACACCTACGCCATTATTATTACGTAATATCGATTCATCAGATGTCCATATTGTTGAAAATGAAGAACCTTTTTTATTTGATGATGTTGAATAACCGCTACTACTACAACTGCCACCATTGTTATTAGGTGAATATCTTTCTTTTTTATTTAATTTCATTAAAATCGGTGACGATTTATTTTGAGTACGTGTTGGTGTTGTCACTACTGTTGATATAGTTGAGTCATTTTCTGTTCCTTCTTCAATTCTTAACACTGCTTCATTTTTTTTGTTGTTATTGGTACTACAATTATTAATATAATTGCTATTTCCACTATTATTTTTATTATTATTATTGTAATTAATGGATGCTAGAGGTGATTGGGGTAACGATGATTCACCATTTTCAAACTTTCTTTGTAATTTTGAAAAATCTGCACTATGTATCCTTTCCTTATTTGTTGAATCACATAAATTGAATGATTGCAATGGAATTGTTGAACGTTTTTCTGGTTTAATTATGCATTTACATAATTGTTGTTGTAATTGATATTGTTGCTGTTGCTGTTGTTGCTCTTGTCTCAGTTTTATGCTTTCATCTTCATTTGTTGCAACTAAACTATCTAATTCTCGGATTATTTTATTTGCCCAAATGTTAACATCTTTAACTTCATTATTTTTTAAATGTAATTTGGATTTTTTTCTTAATATATCTAATGTATCTATTTCATCACAGTTATTTGTATTGACTTTTTGGAATTTCCGGTTGGAATTTGTTATATTTTTAGTTATGAATTCATCAATATTTGTAATTTTTGCTTGATCATCTGTATTTTGATCAATTTTTTGGTGACTTTTTGCTTGATATTCTTCAAAAACATCATTAATTTCACGCTAAAAATAAAAATAAATTTGATTAGAAAACATTTTCTTTCAGTTGATTAAATTAAAATGGGCTAATATGAATCAAAATTCGGATTTTCCAATATTTAAAATTTCATTTTCATCTCAATTACAAATGTTGAGTTAAGTTTAACCCAAATTACATTAATTTTTAACCTAACTTTAAAATTCAGGAGCTACCTACTGAGTAACTAAGACGGATGATGTACAAATAAAACCCTCCAACATTTTGAAGGTCAAGCGTCAAAAATGTTGGCACGTGAAAAAATTACGGAAATAAATGCAAATGCATGCATATACACATAAAATTTTTTAGAGATTCGGTAAGGTAAATTAATGATGACGATTTTAAAAGAATATTAACAAAAAACATTATTTCAAGAAAAAACACTAAAATTGCCACATCAATTTGAAAACACTGTTTAAAATAAATTTCACTGATTTATTGAAAAATCTAAAATTTAATATCGTTATTTATAGAAAGTCTTCTGTATTGAAAATCCAGCAACAGTAAAGCATGTTTTTCACATTGTTTTCAATTTAATTTCTTATGGGAATCGATGTGAATTATTTTATTATTATTCGTCCTGTTTTGCTTTTAATTTCGTTTCTATCACTAAAATTCAATTTCATTTTGTTTTCATAACAATTTTCATATTATTCCTTTCAACGTACGTACAAACACTATTTGTGTCCTTCTTAATACAGTGGAGGCTACATAAATTGCGATTTTTGTAATTACACTGTTACTATTATTTAAAAAAAATACCTTTTGAATTCAGCTTAAAAACTTGGGTTTTATTTAAAAAATAAATCAAATTTTGTTTTATGTTCGTTGGGTGTTTTTCTTTATGGTAGCCATTTTTGGTTATGAATCTAAACTATACTGAACACAAACAAACCTTAAATTGCCAAATTAGTAAACTAGAATATTTTAAAAAATTTTGAAAATTTTTAAATTAAAATAAAAGTTATGAAAATATTGTTGTTCATTACCTTTCAGCCTAAATTTTACAAATTAAAATTCAAGAATCTTTTAAAAACCGATAAGCAAATTACAGGCGCTTAAATATCGATCTTTTTAAAATCGATATTTAAGCACCTGTAATTAATAATTTTGAACATAAACAAATAAGTTAACTATGCCCAACAGTCTGTTAAGCGAGAAAAATTTAAGATAACTGGATTTTACATTCAGAAAATGAAAAAGAAAAGTCTAGAATATTAAAAACAAGTGTGGGCGGAACTAACTGAAAATGAAATCTTCTTGGAAAAAATGTGAAGAAAGTGATTCAATGAAGCTAGTTGTTTTGTAAGCCGACAAAATTTCGACCGAGTATTTTTTAATACTCTTTTTAGAGTATTCTGTCCTATCGCTTATGTTAATCATTTTATTCTTTATTGGTCTGATAGAGGTTTTACTGTATTTGGATTTATAAATGTGTTATTTAATTTCACGCATCAATTAGAAGAAGAAATCTGAAACTCTTTTAGAAACATAGAAATTATTGAGAAATCATTTTTATTCCGCTTTCATGGTTTCCATAACATTCTATATTATTTATTACATCTCCCACATTAGAAGCTTCTACATATGACGAATAGCATAGGTTAAAGAATGACTTTTTACTGGAATTTTGATTTGTCTTCTTATTTTTACTTTTATTTTTTTTTTTCATTTTTTGTTTTTACCTATTAATTGGACCGCAGAATTTCCACAAGAGCAATCAAGTTCCTTTTTCACAATGATTTCAAAATTTTCCTTTACACTTTTTTCTTCTTTATTATTTTGTTTTTGCAGTAACTTTCTTGTATTTTACTTAACACATTAGTATAAAAGAAAATTTCAAAGATCCTATTGAATTTAGTCTGAGCTCAAAATTCACTTTAAAACGTAGTGGAACTACGGACAAAATCATTTACCAAATACAGTTTTTCTTATCAAAATTTAAATAAAAAAAATAATAATAAAAATATAAAATGTCACTATTGTTCGTAATAACATTTTTATTAACACTCGGATATATAAAATCTATGTCAATACCATCAATACAACATGAAGCACAACAAGAACAACTATTTGAACCGGACAATACAATTTTAATAGATTCAAGTGATATTTTGTCATCCGGTAGATTTACAAATGATTTAAAAAATAATAAAAATTTAATTGAAAAAATTTTACAAGCACGAAATTTACCAAAAATGAATAGTGAAAGTGATTATATTGATGGCTTTACAACAGATCAAGAAATAAAAAAACGTTTTGAGAAAAATAATTTGAAAAATTCTGAGGAGCTGGTAAATTATCAAAGCAGTCATGAAGATTGTAGTAAAAAACATTTAGCAGATGTTAAATTGTAATTAAAAAAAAAGAAATTTTGTTTTTACCTATTTAAGAACTTAAGAAAATTTAAATTAAAAAAAGATGGTGGTCATTCAAACATAATTAAGAATAGAAAAAACTCAATTTAATACATAAGAGTTTATAAATTAGCGATTAGATTTAAATAATAATTTGCTCAAGAAGAGCAACATTAATATATGGATCTTCTTGCTCCCCATCGCATGTAGAGTAATCTATCATTCCAGCCTTTTAATGAGGCTCAATTTTGATGTTCAATAATTTTTGCAAATTTCTTTTTTTCTATCAGAAATTGTTAGAACTTTATTTAAAAAACAGAAAAATTATTTTCAAACCTTTTTTGAAATTATTCAAATTAAGCAAGGATTTTCTTTCTTAATCATTATAAACCCTTTCAAATCTACAATCTAACAGTCGAGACTACCAACGTTTAAATTAGCAGCATGATTGATTAGTGTGACATATTTTTTAAATTCAATATCAGAAACTTAAACTTTACTTAAAATTTAGCAATAATCAAATTCTCATGTTAATTCTTTTGCATGGTTGCCGTTTTTGTAATAACAATATAATTACAAAAATTAAAATTAATTAAAATTCAATTAAGAATCAATTTATTAAATTTTTAATTAAAAGTTTCCTGTATAAGATTTTCGTATACAAAATTTTAAATATAATTTTAATTATCTTAAAATAAAAGATAATAAGTCAAAAATTTATCTATTAATAAGTCAAAAATTTTATAGGGTCTAAACTTCAACACCTTGAACCTTCGAACTCATAAAACTATCAAAATATTCTTATATTACATAACTATTAAAATATTTTTGTATTTTTAATAATAAAATATTACACATTATTAATAATAAGTGTTTTCTAATTATAGACTTGATGACGATTATGAGATTCTAATGCAAAAATATAAATTAATGCAAAATATTTTAGCTTCATTAGGATTCAATTATTTTGAAGATTTAACAAATTCTGGTTTAAATTCATCTGGGCGTAGAGAAGGTCCTCTTTATGCTGAAGAACCAAAATATATTGTTATACCAAAGGATGGTGGAAATGATTTATTAGGTAAAAAAAAAATCAACTAATTATCATTTACTTTAGAAGTTTTGTTCTATAAAATGAAGAGTTTTATATTAAAGAGAAACTCATGATATCAAATTATAAACAATTATAAGGTTTAAAATTAATTAAAATTGTAATTAAAACGGTTTCATAAGAATCACATTCAGAGCGTCTTAATAACATAGAAAATATTATTTTTTTTTAAATATTTTAATTTTTTATGTGACTGACGTGAATTAAAAATAGGAACCAAAACACGCAATAAATAATCTAGCTATACGTTTCTTAGGATAATTGAATAATAAACGGAAATTTGCGTTAATTAAATTGAATTATTTTTATATTAATTATTAATTATTTAATTGTTATTATTTTTCTTAGAAAATTAAAATCTTTTTTATTTGTATAACAATTTTATAAATTTTACAAACTTATTTTATCAAAAAGATTTAAAAATGTTGAATAATAACTAGAGGTTAATTAATTAAAACAATAAATTGATTTTAATCATATAAAATAAAATTTTATAGCAAAATTAAATTTTGGAAATTTTTATTTCCATTTGTTTTAGAAAATTCATTTCTCAATTCTGTGGAAATATTCTGAAACTCAATAACCCCATTTCTAAGTGAAATTGGTATTTTTGGAAACTAACAAAATTTCAACTCTTTATTATGCCAAATTTTGCACTAGCTTGAAAACTTACCTATAAAAACAAAGAATAATGAAAAATTAATATTTAAGATCTTAATCAAAAAATTCCAAATCGTCATACTTGAAAATTTTGCATTTTGAATAATGTTGAATTTTTGAAAATTTCCACCGAATTTATAAAAAATAAAATAATTTTTAGACAATTTTTTTATTATTCTATTTAAATTAGATGTTTTATTTAAAACAGATTCATCAGGATTCAAAGATTTTTTCATACCACCAAGAGGCAGAAAACAAATGCCATTACTAGAAAAAATTAAAAATCATTATGAATTATTTGTACCGAACCGTGGAAAAAAAGCAACAAATACAAAAAAGGATAAAATTAAGGATATATTCAAATATAACGATTTATTTTTTCCGAACCGTGGGAAAAAGAATGCACTTAATGGGAGAAATATTTTACTCAAAAAAAAACAAGTTTTCTAATTTTTTATGTAATTAAATTACTAATCTATAAAATATTATTGATAATGCAATTTTGAAAGCAAAAAAAAAGATGAAAAAGAGTTTATAAAATTTAGAAAAAAAAAATCAAATTACAAAAAAAAAGTGAAAATTAAACTCAGTAAGGGCTGGAACTGATTTAATTTCATTTGAAATTTAAGTACAATTTAGCCAAAATGTAATCTTCTCTGTTTGTAAATTAAATTATTATAGCTGAAAAATGAAAAACATATCAAGAATTGTGAATATTTTATAATAAAATATTATATAGGGGGCACATAATCTATTCATATTTGAAATTATATTAGAAATTTATTTGAAACTTTATACGTACATACATACATACATGAAATAAATTTTAATTATTCTGATAAATAAATCAATTTGGTGTAATTTAAGATTTTACTTCTAAAATAATATTTTTTATTTTCCTGATTATTCTAAAATAATTTTACTATTTTTTAATAGAGTATTCAATCAGAAGAAATTAATAAAAACTAAGTACATATTTTTTTCTATTCTATATATCACACTAATTAAATTGAAAAATCAGAAATTGTTAGAAATGAGCAAATTATACAACAATTTAATAAAAACGAGAAAAAAATGTGGCACATAAAAATTAATTTAAAATTATTATAAAATTTACTGACAGTTTCATTTAATTTAATTTATTTTTGCAAAAACTTTTGTCAAATGAAACAGGACTCAGAAAATAATCAATAAAGAAAACAATTCTTTATAACATACATATGTACATATGTATATGTAACTATATATTCGTTGATGTAATCTCGGCGAATAACAAAAGAACAGACAACAATAATTAAAATATTTTTGCTTTAGAAAGGGAGCCGCTTCTGAAGATTAAAATATTATAAGAATTCATTATAAATATAACAACTATTCTGATTGTAACGCATTCTTTTCCTAATCTTATAAGGAACAAAAAATATGGATGTTTAAAAGGTTTACATTTCATTATTTAAATAGAATTTAAAAGAAAATTTAAGTAAAAGGTTTAAAAAGAGTGTCGTGAACTTCGATATTATCAACATTATTTTAAGAACTTTAATTCTCTTTAGTCATAAAAAATATTTTAGGACAAAACGGCAATCGAGAACTTATGCAATCAGTTTTCTCAAACTACCTTGACTTTTTCCAAGTATTGTTGTAATTCTATATAGGGATCTTCCTCTAAATCACTGATATCACCGAACAATTCTGAATTAAAAGCAATTTGCCCTTCAATATCTTTAGTAATATATTTTTCTTTAATATTATTTTTAGAAATCTTAGAATTAGATTGTGAACATTTTTTGTCATTATCTTCAATTGAGAATTGATGATCTTGGCAGTTTGATAGTTCTAAAATGAAAGAAAAGAACAAATATTATAATTACTCAATGATTTAAATTTACCACTATTAAACAAAAAAATTATAAATAAATAAAAAATCTTTAAATTTTATTATTTTTGGAAAAAATTTAAAATTTGTAAATTATACCTGTCATTTTTGTGTCCTTTTTAATTTTATTAAAATTATTTTTTGTGTCTTTTGGAATCGCTCCCAATAATTTTATTTCACCAGATGATTTACTTTTAATTAAATTATTATTTTTATAATTATTATTACTATTACTATTTCTATTTTTTTCATTATCGTTACTATTTGATATTAATTTTTCTTTTGGTGATGAAATTCTATTACTATTATTAATAATACCAATATTTTTATTAATATTTATATTGTTACTATTATTATTTACAGTTCTAAAATTATTATTACTAATATTATTATTGAATTTATAAGTTTTATTAATAATTTTATCTGAATCTATTGATTTCTTTGAAAATCTTTTATTATTATCATCAATATTTGATTTGGAATGTATTTTATTAAATTTTTCAATTTCATTTCTAACATTCGATTCAGATTTTCTTTCTTTCAATAAAATATTATCATTTATTTCAATGTTATTGCTATTGTTATTAAGGCTAGTATTTGGTGAATCATATTTAATTGTGACAATTTTCAATTTTACAGGAGTTGAAGGTGGCGGCTTATTATAAAAATTATGATGATGAGTTTGATAATCAATATCAATTTCACTTAGACTATTACTACGATTATATTTCTGATGAAAATTTTTATTATTTTTGTTATTGTTTTTATCCTCTGTATCTGTATCATCACCACCACCACCACCTGCATCATCATCAATATAACTAAAATTATTTTCCATCAAAATATTACATTGATTTGTTACGTAATTTTCTTGTTGATTTTGTTGTTGTTGTTTTGATTCTAATATTTTTCTAAAAAATTCTTTACGTCTTTCTTGATGATCATTTTTTGTTATTGGTAATGATGATGATGATTTTACGGGATCTTTAACCAATGCTAACTCTTTAGCTTTTGACATGTTGACATTTTGTGTCAAATATTTTTAAAATCTATAAAAAGAAAAATGGCGATTAGAAAAAAAATTCGATTATTAATTATCAATGTTTATATAGTTAAAATATTTAAAAATATGAAAACACATTATTTCCATTAATATTCTAGATTGGTTTTATCCAATCGAATAGTTTGAATCCAATCAAACCCAACTTGAAGCAAGGCTCCAAAATATTAGTATAATAAACAAGTTGCCAATGTTTGATTTGTAAATTGCGTTGTCAATTTTTCCAATGCTATTTTTAAAATATTTACTGATTCAAAAACATTTTCATAAATATTTAATTTTAGTTAAATTTCGAAAAGTCTATTTTAAATTATTTTTGAAATTTAAAAACGAAAAAATTAAAATGTAAAATAAAAATAAAAAATTCCAGTAAAATAAAAAATTACCATTTGTCATATTAATGACAATTAATTTGAAACTAATGTTTACAATTATTTTTAACTTTAAACATAGACAAATACTATTTTATAATAGTTATGACATTAATTGTGTAAATTATTTTAATCAAATAAAACAGTAATATAATATTTTAAAATTTAGCATGAAAAATTGCAACAATAATTAAATTTTAATATTTTATTAATCAAATTGAATTCAAATGAAAATATTGTATTTTTGTTTTTGTAAAATAAAAAATTTTGTAGTATGATTTCTTAACGATTGATGAAACGAAGGTCTTTCGTAGCACGTATTTGTAAAAACACAATTGCGTCTTATCATGTGTCAATTGTAATATTCATTTAATACATGTATTTAATAGTTAGCGTGGTGCAATATTGATTAAAAAATAATAAAAGTAAAATTATTATGCTAATCTTAAATAATAAAAAAAATAGCAGACACCAAATACGTGTATAATATGTAAATTTAAAAATATGGCAAAAATGAATTTAATAAATTAAAAAGTACTCTCAACACTACTACTTATTATGAATTGAAGTCAACCATAACCCTCTCCCCCACTTTCCTATACAAATACTTGCTTTCTTCTTTTCTCTAAATAATATACTATAAAACGACAATAACTAAAATATTTAATTTATGACTCAGAGTTGTATTTTTTTATGTAACACTTATACGTTACTAATTCTAATTCAGACATCCATATTACATTGAGATATTTTTAGTTTATATTGTATATATGTATAGTCATATATTTATATGTTGCATTAAATTACTCAATATAGAAAATAAAAACAATACTTAAACTTAAAAAAAATTATAAAAATTAAGTAGTTAACAACGTACAAAATAAAATAGAATATGAAATTTCATGGAAATGACGCATAATCTCTTATTAAGTATTAGAAAAATAACAAATATAGAATAATAAGTTTTAAAAAATATATTTTGATGCTTAAACCTCTGGACTAATAAGAAGACAAATAATTAAATTGTTTCATTCATAAACCATATATGAGGATAGAAAGGAAGTTGCGTTCCACAACTATTGAATTTCAAAGTCATCAAAATAGTCTTATGCACATATGTATGTACACAGTTATATGATCTATTATTTATGCTATTTATAATGGTTGTTTAGATCTATTTAAATTTCACACATACATAAATGAATTTTTAAAAATTTTTAACTTTAATTGTACAAAAAATAAAAATGGAATTGATCAAATTATTTTTAGTTTTAAAAAGGAAATGACGGAATTCAAAAACTCGAACAAATTAATTAATTTCACTACGGAATAATATTTACTGTTTATACATACATAAGGTAAGTGTCGATAATACTGACAGTGGCGGTGATACTGATATATACGGGGTTTTTTTTAATTATTAAGAGATTTTCTCTATACAACATATATATATATTTTTTATTTCTAGATTAATTCAAATTATCGCAATACTTCCTTTTATTTAGTTTTGAAATAACTCCAAAATATTGAACATAAATCAGTTTTGTTTCCATAGACATAGCAATGGTGGGTTGCATTGGAGAATTTCTTATACTTTTTGCTTAATTTTTCCGATTTTGTTTTTATTGTTTTTTGACTTATTTGAGGGTTAAAAATATATGTATTTATATTAAATTAAATATTTTGATTATTTTTTATCTTATTTTATAAGTAATTCGGAGTAAAAACGTTAAATAAATAAGAATTTTAACAAATAATTTCTGTCAGTATTAGAAACATCTGAAATTCGACCCTGCTTCTATTACTGACATATGTGTCAGTATTACGTCAAAAATCCGTATTTTTATAAATTACGTCATTTTTAAAATATTTAAATTTTTATTTTTGTATTTATTTAATTAAAATCGAATTTGAATTTTCTTTCTAATGTCCGAATTCTGACACTAAGAAATTACTACAGGTTCGGAGTATTTTAGCTTTAAAAACTGGTGTCAGTAATACGATCTAAAGAGGGTCAATATTATGTACAAAATTATGTCAGTATAAAGTTTTAATTTTTATATTCATTTTAATTAATTAAAATAATTCCTTTACACTTTAAAATTGTTTAAACTATTTCAGTCAAATGAAAATCGATTACATTTGTGAAAACCTATATCTGACGCCGACCTTTTTACCTTTTTAATAGTGATATTCGTCTGATAAAATTTGTGTCAATATTGTATACAATACTGTCAATAAAACAGTACAAATCGCTTTCTAAAAAAATGCTTTAAAATTACTCTAAACGTTAACGTCATAACAAATATCACAACGGAAATGGTTCTCTCTAAAAAAAAAGAAAAAAGTAGTCCTTTTTAATATCCCAAAATGTTGTTCCAAAAATTAAGAATGGGTAGCTCTCGTTACGTCCTTAATACATAAATAATCTTTGTTAAAGCAAAAAGCAGCTTTAGAATAGGCTTATTAGCAGCTTTAGAATATATTGATATGATTTCTTATAATTTCGTGTGATATGGTACATCAAATTTTAGGTATTATTTATAAGAATACATTTGTAGCAAATATTACTTATAATACTTTATAAAACATTATGTAATTTCGAATAAGATTTTCATAAATATCTTTTATAATCTTACCAAAATATACAATTTAAAATGTTCAGCAACTTAAATAGAATTTGATGGGCAAAATATAAATTTTTGTTATGAATTTAAGGTTTCATTTCTGATTTTTATCTACTAAATAGTTTATTTACCATAAAATTTTTTCATTGCTTTTATAACCCTTTAGGATTTTACCAGAACCTAGTACTAATTTTAATTTTTATAAAGTAATACAAAAAATTTCATTGAATTTAGCTTACTGGGTGCAAGTTTATTTATGAAAAAATTTTGTTTAATTAAGAAAATTAGTATTGTGATCAAAATAAAATTCGGGTTTTAAGTAACTTGTTAAGGAAATGTCAAACAATAAAATTTTGCAGTAAGGTTTGGTCAAAGTAATTTTTCATTTATACAAATTTTTCTCCTACATAAGTATATAATCTTTTTTGATACTATTATACTACTCCGAAAAAAATTTAGAACTAATAAAACAACACCTTATATTAGATTATATAATATGATAGGGAAATAAGATAAATTTTAAATTTCCAAGGGTTTCCAATAACGATTTATCTAATTATAAATCAATTCCATCAATTAATTGTGTTTATTTACTTAGTTACCGTATAGATTACATTAAATACTAAAAAAATTTTAAACATTTCCTTTTAAAAAACAATTTTTTATTTCCACTTACTCAATTAAAATTGTTTAAATTTTTTTTTTAAATTTCAGCAACTAATTTTATTAATAATTTAAAAGTTAACATAAAGCTCGCTTTTGTCATTTTAATTTCATAAAAATATTTAATTTACGAGTAATAAATTAAAGTAAATATTATTTAAAAAGATTCAAAATTTTATTTATACGATCAACAATTAATTAATTAACTTAAATCAAATTATATACATACATATACATATACACCTATATATATATACATATATGTTAATGTGTACTTATGAATTTAACAATTAAATGTTAAAATGAATTTACTGTTAATAATTGAATAACAAAGTGAGTAATTTAAACAGAATAATAAAAAATAAGATTTAATTTAAAAATTACAATTATGAAATTGATTCGAGAATTTTTAAATTTCTTTCTCAGATTAGATAAAAGGAATATTTGGGCTGCCTTTATCTCACACTTTAAATTTTGGATAAACAACCATTCTACGGTGCTGCAGGGTGATATTAAAATTATGAAAACTTTGTATCTAAAACAAGTAAGTTATTATTCCTGATTTATATCCTATGGAAGGCTACGATTCTTTTTATCTTTTTAAATTTAATATATTATGTATTTGATATCGTTTATTATAAAAATAGCAATTCCAAAAAAGTCAAATTGTAAATAAAGAGCGAAACTGTTATTTTGAGCTTTGAGAGCTTTAACAAGTTCTCTAATAGTACAAATTATTTCTTTAGTTTAAACATCCAATTTGAATTTATTGAACTGTTAAAACTGTCAAGCAATTTGAATACAAAAAGAAGACTGAAAGTGTTTAAAAAAAACTTTTACTTTTATTGCTTTGGTAAAAAGTAAATGGATGGTACAACCGGGGCCCAATTGCACCATTTACTTTGTTCTAATTAATCAATCAAAGTTCCTGTTGCATTAATACATTAAGTCAACAAGTCAAAACATTAATGAACTATTTAAATAAATAAAGTATTTTTTTTAAATTTAGTAAAGTAAAAACGAAAATAAAAATCAAACTGGTTGGTGTAATAGAGCCCCAGAATAGGGTTAGAATTTAAGAGGAACTAACGACGACGCATGGCATTAACTCAAATGTATGATGAAAATTGACATTCACGAGCAATGTCTTCTATTTCCAAGGTAAAATTTTTGCTTGTTTTAATGTTCGCTTTATCTCATTTACAGTTTGAATGTCACTAGTAAATACAATTTTAGACATAACATGCTGTCAAAATTTAAATCAGCTAAATGCTATTAAGTTTCATTATTAAATTTATTATTTACTTTTGCATAACTACTTAGTATTT